GGCTAGTCACTGGAGGATTCCTCCCATTCCTGTGTTGCTCCCTCTGGGGCTGTCAGCCCCTCCAGCCAGGCTCAGAGCCCCACAGCCTTGGGAGCAGTGGGCAAAGGGGGACAGCAAGCCAGTGGGGCAGAGGTGAGGAATGGAGCCCTCCACTCCCACTGCTGGAGTTGGTGTTTTCAGCCCTCCCCCCGCTAAGATCGTTTTCGACTCTGACGTAGCTGGATTCCGGGGAGCATGGACTGGCCTCCTTCGAGGGTTTGGAAAGTACCTAGTGCACAGCACGGAGGCAGGGCTGAATTCGAACTGGGAGCTGTAGGGATGGGGTCAGGGCTAACCTCACCCTCTGACGGGTCCAGCGGTGGAGAGCAGGCAGCAGGCTCGGTTCCACAGGGAAATAGAAAGCCCACCGGGGAGCTAGGAGGGGCTTTTAGCTCAATCCACTTCCCAGGTGGAGTCAGCTAAACTGCACAAAGGCACTCTTCAGCCTTGTCTGCACTTGGAAGTTAATGTGGATTAAGGTGGGGTGTGAATTTGGTGTGCAATAGCTATTCCTGATTGTCCACACACGGCCCAAGTGGGTCCAGCTAATGAGGAACCGAACCAGGCTCTCTTGTCCCCACAGGGAGTTAACCAGGAACAGCTCCATGTTTAGACAAGCCCTCGATGCCGACTACCAACTGGAGCTCCTGCAGAATGGCCATTGTGCTTGAAGTTCTCGCTGATTTCGCACTAGCTGCCCCTGCAGACCCGTCCCGACTGGCGAAGAGCGACCAGCACGTTTGCTTTTCTCTTCTGGCCCTGCTGCTGGCGGGGCAGATTTGGCCGCCCGGCGAGACGGTACCGTAGGGCCCTCAGGCTGTTCAGAGTGTGTTTGATTAAGGAGAACGTCAAACCAGCAGGGCCAGGTTGGCTCAGGGCAGCGGTGACGCGCTAGGGAACCTTTCCTCCAAGGTTGCTGGGTCAAATCCAGCGCTGGGCCCCCTTTGCTCAACGTCTTTCCCAGCTGACGGTTTTGGTGAGCGGTAGCTTTGGGGCCGGGAGAGACAGAGAAGAGACGGTTACTCTCGTGTCTAGGGGTCCATGCCACAAATTGGCTGGCGGGAGTCTCCCACGAGAGGTGCCAAGGAGGGAGCGGAGCCTTCTTGCCCCGGCTGTTCTCTGGCTAGAGAAGGTTCGAGTTGCCAGCATCTTTCAGCAGGGCAAAGTCAGCCAAAGTCCAAACAGCGGCCGCCGCCTTGTCCCAGGGGCGGGAGAAGCATCCAAGGAACCACGTCCCACAGCACCAGCGGGCTTTGAGCGCGCCGGGCCAGCTGCAGCTGGGGGAGCAGAAAGCTCGTTTTGGAGCGTGTGAGCCGGCTCTGGCTGCGGCGCCAAGGCCCACACTGCTGCAGCGAGCTGCTCCCCAGAGCGTCACCTAACCCCCCCCACCTCATCTCTTGGCCTTGCTGCCCTAGCCTTGGGCTCGCAGCGTGAAAAGCACTCGCTGCCACGGGCCAGCCCGAGACAGGGAGCGCTGGAACCACGGCAGCATCCCAATTATGCGAGGCCTGGAGCTACAGCGAGCGGGCTCCGATAACGGGGAGTCAGACGTGCAGGCCCCAGGAGCTGGTCAGGGTGGGAGGCTGCGGGAGCTCAGCTAGGTGCCAAAAGTGGTGACTCCAGGAAATCCCCCCTCTGCTGTCACATCTCCTTGGGCGGGGATGGTCCCAGGGCCAGGGGCTCCTGGCAAGCAGGATGAACGCCGCCAGCAGAAGGCTCCGAAGCAAGAGTCCAGGTTGCTTTCTTAAGGGGCCAGTAATGGTTTGGCCCCTGGGGGGGACTGCACTGCGCCACAGAAGCCCCCCTTTCCCCACCCACCAGGCTTCGGGGAGAAGGGGGAACAGATGTCACTGCACATGTGCTTTGTACACGGGAGAAGCAGACACCCCCCCCATCCCCCCAGTTCCAGGCACCAGCCTGCACCACAGGGGCTCACCTCCAGTAAGAGCTCCCCGCTCTTCCCCTCTTCTCTGGGCCCAACACCGGTCACTGCAAGGGAGAGCGCTGGCTCTGCCCCTAGGGGACGCTGGCTTTGCCTCTCTGCCTGGGCAGGCCCTGGCTCAGGGCCGGGCCGTTTTTAGCCTGGAACCGAGCAGGGTTGGCAGTTGGTCTTACTCCGCATCTGAGAGACGGGAATCAATAACCCAAAGCCACTTACTGGGCTGGGAAGGTCCCGGGGGAAGCTCAGGGTGGGAAGGCTAAGGAAAGCAGCCCCACGCCACGCAGAGCTGGAAGATAAAGGACACAGGGCAGGCTGGCGGTCTGTCCATCCAGCCATTGGTCTGCATGGTTCCCTGCCCTCTGGGGTTTAGTGGCTACTTGTCCATCTGTCCAGGTCTCTGTCTGGCAGGGTAGGAGCTGTATCCCCCTCCCCCTCCCTCCAGCCCGGCCCCAAGGTGGCTGAGAGAATCCCAGGCCGAGCTCAGCTGCCAGGGACCAGACAGGAAAGAGACGTCACCAGCCCGGAGTGTAACTCAAAGCAGATGGGGCCGTTCTGTTTGCCAGGACCGCAGGGTGGTCACAACAGGAACTGGTCAAAGGCTGTCAGCAGGAAATGGTCTGGGAGGAAACTCCCTAGGCTGGAGGGGAGAGGGAATTAGTTCACAGGCAGCTTTAACCACTTCAGTGCCACTGGTACGTAACACCACCACTCGCCCCGGCTCAGTTCAAACCGCCCACACAGGGGCCTCAAACTCTGCCCTCTGACCTGGGAAGAAGGGTGTGGAAATACAGCTGGGGCCCCCAAAAGGGGCAGAACTCTGGCCCACCCATGCTGCCTGGCCCCACACCCTGGGTTGGGGCAGAGGGAGGTTTGGCCACCTGCTGCAGCCAGCCCTGCAGCAGGGCCAGGGCGAAGGGGTGAGACAAATCCTGGCTAAAGAGAACACGGAGTCCCCCGCGAGAGAAGAACTGGCCTCAGCCCCCCCGTGGGGAAAAGCTCCCACTGGAGGCACAGCTGGGCACTGCTGCAGGGAAGCTCCCAGCGGTGGAGGCTAGAGCCCAGTCCACACTGGCGAAAACGGCAGCATTGCCGGAGCCTGAGCCATGCGGACGCTCGTCTCCACCTCCAACCCAGGCACCTTGGCTGCTCTGAAGCAGCAGGAGGGTGCAGACCATGTCTGGCCCCGCAGGGTCGATCCGGCTGGGGAGTGCTGCCAGGGAAAGGCCGAGCCTCCGGCCTGACTCACTCTCCTTCCTCCGTCTGATTCCAGCTGTGGGAAACGGCCTCTCCCCCTTTCCCGCTCCATTAGCCAGCGGGAGAGATGTGGTGAAAGTGACAGGGAACGCGGTGCTGCCAAGCCCCGAGCGGCCAGCTTCCAGTGCCGTGGTGGCAAGGGGAGAGGCGCATTTCGGTCTCTCCCAGAGAGGGGCCTTGCTCCCCTCTCTCAGAGAGAGAGACTGCCAGCGAGCGGGGGAGACGGGTCAGATCGGGGAGCAGAGCCAGCTGGGGTGGGGGCAGAGCCCGGGGCAGGCAGGGCCCCCTGACCCAACCCCAGCAAGCGAAACGCCTCATCCCGGGCAGCTTTCAGTAGAGTACCGTATCTGAGGCTCAGTGGCCCAACCCCCTCCCCTACAGCCTGTAACACCCCCCACCCCCGAGCCCAGCCCCCAACTGCACCATCCCCTTTTGTCTCAGCCCTGTTCAAACAGCAGCATCCAACCTCCCCCCGTCAGACAGAGCCTTGGGGAGCATATTCCACTGAACAATGGGTGCAGCCTGCAGCTCCAGTCCTGGCCAGCCTGGCTTGGCACGTTACTGGCTCGGCCCCTGGCCTAGCCATGGCATGTGGGGCCAAGGGACGCTCGGGGAGGAAGCCCCCTGGGCAGCTAGGTTGTTGGTATGTAAATTTAAGGGCCACAAGAAGAGGTGAGGGTGGCAGGCCTGGACCTTCAGCACTCTGCTCTGCCACAGACTAGCCACAGCACGGACAGCGGGGCTGGAACGTCCCCTCTTCCCCCGCCACTAGCCTCTGCTCCAAGCTGCAGGGAGCCGAGGGGGCGTGAGCCCCTGTCCCCGCAGCTGGGGACACCAGGGAAGGTGGTGGGGTTTGGGCTGTGGATACCACCCCACTGGCAGCTGGCCTGAGACCCAAGCTCGGTTGACACAGGCCCCCTATGGGCGGATGGTAACGAGTCTGGCCCTTGTATTCTGGCTCCAGCACCCCACTTCCCGACTAAGCAGAGAGTCCCCCGGCCCACACACACAGAGTACCCCCCCCCCCAGCAGCTTGGGGACCCAGTTCCATTGGATATAAGTTCTTATCCCGCACTTAGCTCCGGAGCGGGTGAGCGCCTGCCCCTCGTGCACTGAGTGTCTGGAGAGGGCAGAGGACAGCCAGCAGCCGGGGCAGAACTGAAGGGGGATCATTCTGTGAGCAGGGGGGGGGAGCGAGGGAGGCGGCTGGGGACTGGAGAAGGGGGACATGGAGCTGCAGTGGAAGGAAGATCCTGCTCTAAGGGCCAGAGCCTAAGAATAAATGCGAGAGTCACTTCAACACCTGGCTTCTCCCCACCCAGCACGAATGCCCAGGGCACCCTGTGGACAGGAGCCAGGGACCTGAGACGCTGAATCCTGAGCGTCTACAGAGAGCCGGGGTTCAATCCTCAGCTCTCCTACGGCTGCAGGGAAGAGGAACCCAAGGTCCAGGCCCCAGGCTGGCACCGCAGCTGGCTGGTAGCCAGGAAGCTGGTTTCAGTCTAAGGCAGCAACGGGAAAGCGGAGGAGCTGCTTGGATCACCCCCGAGAAGCTGGGGGAGGCCCAGCTCGGGCAGAATGGTTCCCTAACGGCCCAGTTCATTTCACACGGGCAGGGAGGACATGCTGAAGGCGGTGAGAAGATTTAACCCACTCGCTGTCTCAGGGCCTGCTCCTGAGGGGGACATGAAGACCTTAGCATGCGGCCGCCTGGGGCTCAGAGCCAGTCCCTCCCACCTCGTACAATACAATCCACTACAAACACTTGGCATCGGACCTGTACATTTATTTACATTAAGCCGAGAGCTCTGGGGTCTCTCAAGAGAACGTACGTCTTTCTGCACTACTGGGGGGCTGCTGCTAGGGAGGGCACACATATACGGGGGCTGGGGGCTGTGCTCTGCTGGGCAGAGGAAATCCAGCGGACCCTGGGTGAAAATGGGGCAGAGGGAGAAGGGTTCTAACGAAGAGACCTCAGCTGGTGGAAACTGGTGCAGATCCTCCGAGGTCAACGGAGTCCCACCAACGTACCCCAGCTGCGGGGGTGGCTCAGAGCACGTGCTGTGTGGGAGGCACTTTTGGGCTGGGCCAGGTGCTGTCTGGTTGTTTCTGTGCCTAACAGATACAGGCTGCCGTTAGCTAGCAGCCCCCCCTTCATAACGAATCGCCCGTGGACCACACCAAGCCCGGGGGGGGGGGTCAGTTGGGCGGGAAGGGGCGTGGCCTCACACTCATTCTGCAAACCCCCTCCCAAGAGAGGCACAAGCCCTCCGACTCCATGGAGGATCCCCCCACCCCAACCCCTACATCGGCTACTACATCAGCACGCTGGGCCATGCAGGAGCTCCTGCATCACCAGGGGAGGCAACTCCCACCCTAGAGGGGCCTAGATGCCCCCGGGCAGTTCAGACATCACTGGCAGGTCGGCAGCGGGTTTCCCTCGGATCCAGCCCTGCCCGCTGTTGAACAGGATGGAAGGCAAAGGAAACGCCACACCCTGAGGGAGCTCCCACACTCTCCTCCCATCGGGGGGTCCCTGGGCCCAGCGAGCGAAGGGTAGTTCCTGTGCGTTGGTGGTCAGGGCTGAAGCAGTCCTTTCATATGTGCGAGGGGGAGAGGCGAGCCCAGCTGGTCTGCATTAGGATGCGCTCTTGCCTTTATCTTCTGGGGGATGTGTGAAGGGAAGGTTGTGTTCTCCCCCCCGCTGGCAGCTCAGAAGGGCAGGGAGGTTAGGAACTAGCACAAAGCCTCGTTCTTTCTTCCCTGGCCTCCATCTGGGGAACGCGCCTGGAATCTGTGCTCTGCACTTCCTCCTTTCCTGTGCGCGGAGCCTCCCGGCACTAACAGGAACTCAGCCCTGCAGCCTGGCTTCTAGGACCCCAATCATGGGGAGAGATGGTTTTCTGCTCATGCAGCAGCCTCGTGTGCTAGTCCAGCGGTGAGCAGATCCAGAGACTGGCAGTAGCCATCCCACCTGCGGGCCGGGGAGTGCACGCTGCACTCAGGAGCTGGGAGCACAGCTCCAGACAGCCATACACAGATGTCATTGCATCCTGAGGCCGTGACCATCAATGCTGGTGACGTTGCCGTGGCGTGTCTCCTATTGCACTCAGAGGCCGAGAGCAGGAATCTTGGTTCTCAGGTAGTGACTGGTGTGTGGTGCGTACTGAGCCCAGCAAGAGAAGGGACCTTGCAGCACTCATCAGGCTGGTCTGCGGGTCCCATTGCATGTCTCAGAACGGGAGTGGAACACAAACAGCAGGACGCAGGGAATTGCAAAGTGGAGTCCAACGCTGCTGCAGTGTAGGCTTTGCAAGGTGCTCTCCGCACCTCCGGTCGCACGTGCGGTGGGATTCCAATCGGCAATTCCACAGCTCGGCGAGGTCAGCGCCGTCATCTCACTACAGCAAAGGGTCCAGGCCAAGAGCAGCACAGGGAGGATGGGACTCAGCCGCACTAGGGGATACAGAAGAGGCCGGGCCTGGTAACTGCACAGTGGTTAGGATCAGGAGCCTACGGGATGCAGCGGGGTAGCTGTCACAGCAGCACAGAATCTGTAGCAGGGATACAGGGTGCTAAGCTGGCAACACCACACGTGTGTGAGCTTCAGACCAGTAATCTCCATGGGATCAAAGGTGTAGTATGTCCTAGTGGTCCAGGATCACAGACAGCGGGAATCCCAGTGTGGTGGTATTGAACCAGCAGGAGATCCACAGAGGCAGCTTTGCAGGCACCTGGGATCCGGATCCGGAGCCGCACACAAGGCACAGGACCGAGAGGCGTCATCTCGCAGCAGTTCAGGAGTCAGAGCGGCAGTATCCCGGTGGCCCAGACCCTCGAGCAGTGGCAGTGCGGGATAGGATCTACAGCAGGGACAGAATCTAGAGCCGGACTCTCAGCGGGATGGGATCCAGCGGTAATCTCACCGCAGTAGGAGCAGGAATTGCACATCTGTACAGAACTGGGATATCTCAATTCATTGCCCCAGCGGGGAACTCCTTGTGTTTGGGAAGCGGATTGATTCCGAACCCAAGTGGAGATCCTACTGCCTCCAGAAGCAGGGACTAGATGCCACCTTCCTGTGCAGTCCCCGGGGAACAGGCCTTCAATCCACAGCTCAGATTTCAGGGGATCACCCTTTGGCCTTGCTCAAATCCCACCCAGCTCAGCCCCGCACTCAGACACCCAGCGCCGTCAGGGATCCCGAGCTGCTGATCTTCTTGAATCGGTTGGCAGCACACACACCAATAAAGTTTTTCTGTTAGGGAAACAAGAAAGAAATTATTCCCCATTTGGAGCCTGGACAGCGCTCGTTAAAGAGGCCTTTCTTAGGGGATGGTGTAGGACTCAGGTGGGGAGTTCAGATACTCCAGTCCCTAACTCTCCCAGCACGGGACACCGCAGGCGCACTAGGAAGTGGTAGACAGCAATAGTGGTTCTCAAAGCCAGAGGATCACTGAGGATCCCCTTCTGGGCCACTGGGGATCCACCGCTCTCTTTCCACCAGGCCACAGAGCTGCTTCGCTTGACCATCTGCCAGTCTTTGAGCAGCGACTCTTCCAGCTGCCTCTCACCCATGCTCAGAAGCCTGGAAGGTTTTCAGAAACTTCTTAGCCAAAATAAACTGGACACCCACAGACATCCCTGTCCCCCTGCCTGGCTTCCCAGCACCAGCTCAGCCAGGACCGAATCAGAGACAGACGTGAAGTGCAGAGCGCCCTGCAGGGCGGCGGGGGCTGCTGGCAGCGAAGCCCAACCCCCACCGAGAGGAAACCAACAGCACAGATCCAGGCTAAGGGTGAGGCCGTGGGCAAAGGGAGTGGCTCCCCCCAGTGCAGACTGATTCCTTCTGTGGCCAAGCCCTGGGGCAGGCACAGAATCAGGGGGCAGAGACCCTAGAGGATCCCGTAGGTAAGGAACAGGCCCTGATGTGGGGTGCGCGCACACGGTGCCCCTTACACAGGACACGGGGGATGGTGACGGCAGGGGATGGAAGTAAGGGAGGAATAAGAGACATTTCAGGGAAACTCCAGGTCCCTTAGCACAGCACGATTCCTCACTCCAGAGACCATTTCTGTTGCCCTCGAGTACACCACGCAATTACCGCTCAATCAAGGTCATGTTTAATATGGTCCCCAGCATCATTTTAACGTCAGGGATGGGGGTCACCCAGAGGGACAAATCCATGAAATCAGGGATGGGGGGGGGGGTGAGAGTCGGGGCAGCAGCTCCCCCGGGCCTTAGGACACACAGACACCCTCAAGCTCTCCCTCCTCGCTGCTCCATGCTGTTGGCAGAGGTAGGGCCCCATCCTCCTCTCCCCCAGGAGTCCTACCACGGCTCTCTGCTGCCACTTCTGTGCACTCGAGTGTGGGCAGAGCGCTCGCTCTGGGCACAGCGCTCACTCTGGGCACTCCCGTCCCCATTCCCTTCAGGGAGCCAGCGCCCCAGCCAGCACGTCTACCCGCCCCAGGGGCTGGCCTCCCCTCCCAACGCAGGACGGTCCCCATTGCACACAGCCTCCTTCGTACCTTCCAGCGTCGCCGCATGACGTACTTCCGGAGCAGGACCTGGGATTTCAGGCGCCGGTTGCAGCGCTTGGCCTTCTCGGCCAGGTCGTTCAGCCAGGGGTGCTGGAGGCACTTGGCCGCGCTCATCCGGCCGCTGCGGGGGAGAGGAATGCAGGTGACTCCTGTCTCCTAGTGGGGTTCCATCCCCCAAGGAGCCCCCCCCCATTGCTCCTGCTTTCCACTCCCCACCCCAGACCCTTGGGTGCTGCCAGCTGCCCTTTGTAGCCGGGCCCAGGCCTGTGTTAATTAACCCCAAGAACACACTGAGGGAACGGAGGGTGCAGTCACATTCCTGCACAGGCCCTGAGGCTGCTGCCGGCCACGTGAGCCTAGCATCCTCGGCTGCCTCCACTGGGCAGGGTCCCAGTCTCCTCTGACCCGGAGATCCCCCCATGGAGGCAGGGGCCAGGCACCAGAACCTGATCTCTTCTCCCTTCCCTGCTTGGCAAGGACTCCAGTCCCCTCCCTCTTTCCAAGAGCCCTGGTTATGAGACGCCTTCCCCAGGGCCGGGATCCGGCCGAGCCGTCAATGCTGCATGGACCCTGCCGTTACCATGGGGTGCAGCCGGGGGAATGGGCGAGAGGAGGCTGGCCAGGTCGTCAGTCAACATGGGTGCAAGGACCCGCATCGTCCTCTTGGGGCTGCCTGTCTCTGCACCCCCAGCGAGCTTGGCAAGGCTCAGACAGGAGCATCCAGCCGTTGCACCAGGCCAGGCCGTGGGAGCGCACGGGGAAGGGTCAGTGCTCCCACCAGCAGGGAGCAGGGTCGCTTGCCCCCAGGTGGGAGGTGATGGACGGGGGCTTGCTGCCGCAGGCTGGCTCAGGCCTGTGCACATGATGCCAGCTGTGCTAGCCGAACCCCAACGCTCTGGGCCGCCCTCAGCTAGATTCAAACCTCTTCTGCTTGATAATCAGATTCGAGACGAAATCCTTGGCTTCGTCCGAGATGCCCTCAAAGGCTTCCTCGTCGAAGTACCACTTGGCTTCCAGGACGTTGTTCAGGGTTTCAGTGTCGTCATCTCCCAGGAAAGGGGAGAGGCCGCTTAGCCTGGGAAGAGAGGAGCGGGGGAGGAAGGGAACCATCACAGGTCTCAAGCTGTGCTCGGAGCTCCTCAGGAAGGGACAAGACGCAGGCCCTGTTTCCTCAGCGGGTTCCCAATTCCTTCTGCACAAAGCCACTCGCTCGCTCCCTCCCTCTGCCTGGGATCATGAGGAGAGAGGCAGGGAAGCCAGCGCTCTTAGAAAGGAACCAGTGTGTTCCCAGCTGGCATCTTGCTGCGTTCCCATCCTGTCTCAGCTGGGAGAGGTGAGCCATTTCCTGTCCACGCGCACAGCCCGCCCCTCCCGGATGTTCCAGCCACCCAGCTCCGAGCAGCCGCTGGACGGCTTTCCGCTCCCTTTGAGAGAGGGCAGTTAGTGCTGGGGAGAGGTGCTGACTGGCAGGGTCAGCCCTGAAGGCTGGTGGCCTCTATCCACATCGCCTCAGGCACTCGAGGAGGTACCCGGCCTCGTTTTACAGATGGAGAAACTGAGACTCGGAAACTGGCCCGAGGTCACCTGCCGACTGGACTGGGACTCAGGAGTTCTCTTGCCAGCCCTTGGCTCTAACAGCTGCCTCGTTCTCCTCTCCCACACAGCTCTGCCGCCAACCCAGCCACGTCTATGGGTAAAGCCCAGAGTGGTTCTCACCCTCCGCCAGCCCGAGAGCCGCCAGCCCGAGAGCCACCCACCCTGTGCCCACGCTTACAACATGTAGGTGATCACGCCCAGACTCCACATGTCTGTCGAATAGGAGACTTGGTCGTAGTTCACCACCTCCGGGGACAGGAACTCGGGGGTCCCAAAGTTCACTTTCAGCTTCTCCCGCGGGTTGTATCTGTGGGCAGGAAGAGCCGGGTCAGTGAGAGCTCCTGGCACTGCCCCGGGGCCAGCACCCCCGCCCGTCCACATTCACCACCTCCGCCCACACGGCACCCTGGCTCTATGCTGCTCCAACCCAGCGAAGAAACATCCTGGCTTGGCCCCAGCCTGAGCCAGAACCAAGCCAGTTATTATAACGGCCCCAAACCGCTATCCCCTGCGGGGCATGGCTGACTCAGCAGAGCTGCTGCCAAGCCCAGACTGCAGATTCCACCCCACCCCGCTGGGATCCCTTCCTGCCTTTCCCCAGGGCCCACAGCGGGGTCAGGCAAAAGGCCAGTGCAGCTGGTCCCCGAGCGTGGCCTTTGCCCAGCCCCAGAGGACGTGGTAAGGGAGAAGAGAAGGAGCAAGCCAGGCCCCGGAGGGAGGGGAGTTACCTTCGCGCCAGCCCAAAGTCGATGATCTTCACCATGTGCCCCGTGGAGGTGACACACAGGATGTTCTCAGGCTGCAGGGATGAAGTTCCTGAGGTTAGAACCCAGCTCACGGCTACGTGCCCGCCTACCCCAGCCCAGGGAGCGGTTACAGGCCACCCGCAGAGGAGTTTGAGGCCCGCTGGAGGCTAGGCCAGTTTTCCCCTCTGTCCCTTAGACGCATCAGGGACATAGTCTGCAGGGTTCTCAGACCACGTACAGCGCCAGTCCTTGCACCTCAGTGGAGGCCACTGCACCTTTCACATCCTTGCCCCGAGCCCCTATTAAGCACTGGGGTGATGCAGAGGCTTGGAGCCCAAGAGGAGTTAAAATCCCCGCCTTTCCCAATGCAATCCTAGTTCTGACTGCCAGTGACTCCCGGGCCAAGCTGTGACTGGAGCAAGTCCGAGAGAATCGCCTCTCCCAGCCTGTTCCTTGCGCAGCCCCCTGACATCAGAGTACCTCAGCGGACGCCGGGATTGCAGTTTGTAGGCACTGAATGAGAGACGGACACTGGGCGGTCACCCATCCAAATCCCACCCAGACCAACTGCAGCGATGTGCCACAGATCCTCCTCGGCTTTCCCCAGGCCCCCTAGAGCCCTGCCCCCAGACCACATGCTGAGATCTGCCCTTTGAATAGCTTGGAACCTGGAACGCTTCTACCTGCATACTACCCACAATGACTCGGCTGGGCTGGTCTGCAAAGCCAAGACTCCAGCCTTGCCAGCCCGCGGAGCGGAGCCCAGGGTGATGGTCTCCCTCTGGGGCCCAGTGCTGCCACCACCACTGAACCGCGGGATTCCTTGTGCTCAGGAGTTGGAAGTTTCTGCTTCTGGAGGCCTCTTCTCCCCAGACATGATCCAGGCTGTGCTTGTCATGCACTCACGTACCGAGCTCCCCCAGGCAGCATGCGCCCTCCCCACACCCCGGCCCCACAGCCAGGGGCTCTCTTCTCACCGAGAGCAGCCCTTCAGCCCAGCTTCAGAACCTAGGAAGGTTTCCCCTCTAGCCCCCCAGCCTCGCTGTACCCACTCCCTCCCTCCCTCCGCACGTGGCACCTTGAGGTCCAAGTGCAGGACGCGCATCTGATGCATGAAGGTGATCCCGTCGCAGATCTGCCTCACGAACACCATGCAGTCCACTTCCGTCAGGTGGTAATCCTCGTCGATGATGCGCTCAAAGAGCTCCCCGCCCTCCACACTGTGCACAGACCAACCACAGCGTCACTGGACTGCGCCGAGCAGACCCCAGACAGCCGAGCCGCCCTGCCCTGCGTAGAGACGCTCCCCTACGCGGTTCCAGGGGCACGGTTCGCAGGACCTCCCCCCAGCCTGGGCACAGGCAGAGCCGGGTGCCGGTTACGGAGGGTGCCCCTCTCAGGCATGGGGATGCAGAGGGTGGGTTACTGAGGAGACCCCTGGCCAAGGCTGTGGCTCAGAGGAACTGGATAGCGCAAGAGGCCACTCATTCTGGGTACAGGTTCGCGAGAGAAGGGGAATTCTGCAGGGAGACCCCAGACAGGGAACAGTCAGAGGGAAGCTGGAGGCAGGGGCTGGCAGCCCCCCATCCTAGGTCCAGGCAGGTTAGTGGAGAGGCTATCCTAGCCAAGATCCCGTCAGAGCAATAGGGAGGTTAGCGAGATTGCCTTGATTTCAGGGGTATGGGCTACAGATCGTCTCTTCCAGACCGGGTACCAGGGACTGGGATGCAAGCAGAGCCGAGCGCTACCTGGGCAGGGAATCCCCTAGCCAGAGCACAGGGGAGGAGGAGCCCTTGCTGGGACCTGTCACTGCACTGTAACTCGCACCAGGAGACAGCGGCTGAGGGAGACTGCCCCGGAGGAAGGAGGTTCCCCGGCCTTGGTGAACAAGCGCAGCACCGTCGGGAAGCTCCCGTGTCAAGCCACCCAGGCTGCCGCCCAGCCGCTGCCCCATGCGGACGGGTGCTACTCACAACTCCATGAAGAGGACGATTTCCCGTGGCGTCTCGATGGCTTCATAGAGCTGGATCAGGTTCCTGTGGTTCAACTGGTTCATCACCTCGATTTCAACCAAGGCCATCTCCTGCGGGACACGCACCGCGTCAACGCGTGGAGCACGGGCAGGGCCGGGGCAGTCGGCAGTCACAGCCCGCAGAATTGCCAAGCCACCCACTCCAGCACAGCTCAGAGGGCACTTCCGCCGGTGGCCGGCCCACACACAGACACAGGTTGGTTCCCGTGCATGCGGACTGACAGACGTACACACCCAAACCAGGGCACACAGTGACGCAGCCCCAGGTGCACAGATGTACGTGTGTCTCCATCCAGGCTAACGCATGGCTACGCAGACACACGTGCACAGGCAGACTCAGGAGAACACTCGGGACGCACCTTGTCCTTCGAGCCCTGTTTCCTAATGATTTTGGCTGCAAGTTTGAGCCCCGTCCCTCTCTCGGTGCACGTGCGGACTTCGCCAAACTTCCCCCTAGGGCAAAGAAAAGCAGATAGTAGAGGCTGCGATCCCCCCTCTCCCCGCCCCCGGCATGATCTAGCCAGAGGCAAGAGGGCAAGCTCAGAGACTAGCAGTGGGATATCAGTGGTTACAATGCCCGTTCGCTGGCATCCCCATAGAAAGGAGTGGGCAGGGAGGTGGGTTACTTGTTCTCAGGGTAACTGACCAGTCACATGAACTAACGCTCAGTCCCAGGGGGGTCACTAGATTCTTGGGGTTTCCAAGCCTGGAGAAGGCGCGTTCCTAAGCTGAAAAGCTTGGGTTTAGCCCCAGAAGCCCCGGGCAAGGCTCCCCTCAGAGCTGTTCAATGGATTTCCTTCGTCCAAGAGGGCACTGATGACCAAGAAGCAGCACTTCCGTTCCAGGGAGGAGGACTCCGCAGCATGCCCAGCCCTTGTCAATACAGGGCAGGGCTCTACAGATCCAGTCCAGCTCTCCCACAGGGCAGGGCAGGGCACTAGACAGTGGGCTAATAAGAACATAAGAACGGCCCTACTGGGTCAGACCAAAGGTCCATCTAGCCCAGTATCCTGTCTTCTGACAGTGGCCAGTGCCAGGTGCCCCAGAGGGAATAGGCAGAACAGGGAATCATCAAGTGATTCACCCCTGTTGCCCATTCCCAGCTTCAGGCAAACAGAGGTTAGGGACACCCTCCCTGCCCAGCCTGGCTAATACCCATTGATGGACCTATCCTCCATGAACTTATCTAGTTCTTTTTTGAACCCTGTTATGATCTTGGCCTTCACAACATCCTCTGGCAAGGAGCTTCTGGCAAGGTTGTGCGTTGTGTGAAAAAATACTTCCTTTTATTTGTTTTAAACCTGCTGCCTATTAATTTCATTTGGTGACCCCTGGTTCTCCCTCTGTGGTCGGGATGAAAGGGGCATACAGGGTGCTGGCAGCACATGGACGGGCACTAGTGGGGCAGCAGAGATGGGACTGGGCCCACTGTTAGGGTGACCAGACAGCAAGTGTGAAAAATCGGGACAGGAGGTGAGGGGTAATAGAAGCCTATATAAGAAAAAGACCCAAAAATCGGCACTGTCCCTATAAAATCGGGACATCTGGTCACCCTACCCACTGCACTGAGCTGGGACGAATCTTCAGCCGAACACCTTCAGTGAGGGGCATCTTGTCCTTGTGAGGTGCCAAGTACCAAATGAAGAACATCTGCCCCAGGCAGCCTGAGCACAAGTCTCCCTCCATCTCTGCCCGCTTTGGGGGCTCAAAGCGGGCAGAGCTGGAGAGGGGAGTGGTGGCAAGCCAGGGCCACCACCAGGAGCAGCGCTGGCAGAAACGTTTAATTGAAATCGCCAGACAAGGTCTGAAGGTTTGGAAAGACACGGCAACAAAAGTTGGGTTATTTTCAAAAAAGAAAAAGGAAACATTTTGAAAGCATCTAAATGTCCCCAAGGTGACATTTTCTGAGCGGAACGGTTTGATTTGGTTTCTAAATGGCTTTTTGAAATGAAGGGGGAAAGAAACCCATTGTTTTACAAGCATTTTTTAAGGTTCAAAAAAATGACATCAGAACAAACTATTTCAATGGGTCCAAGGGAGAGTTTGGGAAACTTCATTTTGCAGGAAATGTGGACGGTTGGGGGCTTCCCCTCCCTATTTCTAAATAGAATTTTTTTTTTTCAAAATCACGGCGTTTCCCACAAAACAGAAAACACGGCTGGGGCCCGGCTGTGCACCCCAGGCCAGGCTCCCAGCCCCACAGCCCCTCCCTTGGCGGCTTGCTCTTACCCTCCCAGCATCTCCTTGGTGTTGATGTTGAACATGCTGTTCACGGTGCCGGATTTCAGGGTGACAATGCGATGGGCGAAGGGAGCAGGTGGCGGAGGAACATCATCTGCGGAGACAAGACACATGGGACCACCCCGCTGCCTCCCGCTTTCTCAGCCGAGTCTATGGGGCTGGGGAGATCCTCAGGAAACAGCCCCCCACCTCCCGCCTGGCTGGTGGACCTAGAGCTTCATCCACTCCTGGGGCGAGGCCGACACCTAGTGGCAAAGCCTGGTACAGCCTGCAGCCAGCACCTCCTGCCTCCCACTCCTGTCCCTTCCCTGCTGAGTCATAGCACGTGGCCCCCCTCTATAAATAGCGAAGGATGCCGCAGACCACCCAGGAGCCTGACAATAAATCCGGAGGTTACCAAGCCCATCAGCAGCTCCAGTTTCGTTCCATAACCCTGCTAGACCCCTTTGGACCCCACCGGTCTCCTTGACAGGGGGTTGGACTAGATGACCTCTTGAGGTCCCTTCCAACCCTGAGATTCTATGATTCTATGACAGCCCCCGAAAGATCCTCCCAGCCCCATCTGCAGTCACAGACCCCCGATTCCGCACTGACCACCAAGCTCCCCTTAAGCCACAGTCTGCATTCCCCCAGCCCTATGCACACCCCACTCTGCTGATCCTGGGCCCACAGCCCAGCCCCAGGGCACTTCCATGCTGTGCCACCCAGGCTTCAGTTCTGGAGAGCCGGCCCTCCGATCCCCACGCTCCAACCCTGCATTCCCCACTGCGCACGGCTCGGGCCCCAGCCTGCCCTCCCTCTCAACACCCCTGCTCTGTCAATCTACTCAGCTCCAGGACACGCTGTCCTAGGCGGGCAATGCAGATAGCGCAAAGATCTGAGCTCTCGGGTCTCCTGCCCTGCTCTTAGATAGCACAGGGAGAGGCTCTCTCTGGGTCCCGTGCTAGGTGTCAAAGGAGAGCAGCAAGACCAGGCCAGACGCAGAGCGGGCACAAGGGGACAGGTGAGCTTTGTTTAAAGGGAACCAGTAGCGGGAGCGCCATTGGTGGGCAGTGAATCAGAGACACCGGCCCCCTCGCTCTGCCTGGATGGAGTCCACCCTACATAAGAGACGGCACAGCCTTACCCAGTATCTGGAAAGGGTCCTCTTTCCCGAAGTCTGGCGTTAGGTAGGGGCTGGGCGGGGGCTCCAGTTCTTCCTCCTCTGGTGAAGGTGGCTGTTCCCCAGCCACAGGGCCTGTTTTCCCCGCATTTCTGGGGATGTTCAAGGCTAGAGAAGGCTGCTTCACTGAGCTGGGGGGCTCTGCAGGGGTCTCGTCTGAAGCAGGGTGAGGTAGCCCCACTGAGCTGGGGGGCTCTGCGGGGGTCTCGTCTGAAGCAGGGTGAGGTAGCCCCACTGAGCTGGGGGGCTCTGCAGGGATCTCGTCTGAAGCAGGATGGGGTAGCCTCATTGAGCTAGGGGGCTCTGCAGGGGTCTCGTCTGAAGCAGGGTGAGGTAGCCCCACTGAGCTGGGGGGCTCTGCGGGGGTCATGTCCCCGCTGCTGCTAGCTGGGCTGGGCACCTCGCTTGGGGTGGGTTTCTCTGCACAAGTCTGGTCTCTGGGGGCATCCGAAGCAGGGCCAGGCACCTCCACTAGACTGGGCTCTGCTGGCAAAGCGCTGGCTCCTTTGGCGGGAGTTGCTGGACCCTGCGGGCTCTTCTCTGCACGTGCAGAGGCCTCTTCGGCTCCCATCTTCGCCACCCGGGGCTCCTCCCCTGGTCTGAAAGCAAGACGTAGCAGCGTGAGCCTGGCACGCCTGATCCAACCCGCCATTAATGCCCCCGAAGAGGGAGCCGAGCTGCTCGCCCTAGTCTGCACCTCATCGCGTGTAAGGAAACAGCCCCGCCCCGGAAACGTCCTGTGCCCGGGGGGGCGAGGGAAGCCCCTCAGAAGGTCGAGCCCATGAGCGGAAGGGGATCCCGGAGGCTGGGTCCCGTGGCGATGTTCTGCGCCCAGGAGTGGGCTGACTCCAGTTGCAGGGTGGGGCCCCCGGGAAGGCCAGGATCTCAGAAGAGCACCCAACGCGGGAGCACCGCCAGGTGACTTCCCTTTGGCACGTGGTTCTCCAGGGAGCCCGTCCTGGTGCGAACACTGCAAACCAGGCACATGTGGAGGACTGGGGAGCCCAGCAGGGAGGAGGGACGAAGAGAGGGGACCCCAGCATTTGGAGACAAGCTAGGGGCTCCCCACTCCACCAAACCAGCCTCCCCAGCTGCCTGGGGGATCAGATTCCTGGAGAGAGAAGTGAGATGTTACCTCTGGTTGCTGACTGGGCAGCTCTGGCTCCGCTGGGGAGCTGGGGGCTCGTGCTTGGAGGCCGTAGGCTGGCTCTGGCTTTCTGCCCCCTCTTTGGCCTCTGCTTTCTTCTCACTGGCCTTCGTCCCCTTCCCAGCCACGGGGGCGCCCTTCTCTCCAGGCTCTGCCTTTTCTCCTCTCGCCGTTGGCTGCGAGGTTGCTGGGGCAGACTGGGGCAGCCTCTCTGCTCCGCCGGGGGCCGTGTCCTCCCCCACGCTGGTGCAAGGCCCGGCTTTCTGGCCCACTGGCACCCCCTCCGAAGGAGCCGTGGCAGCGGCTGGCTGCCCTGCGGGGCCCTCCAAACCCTGGGGCATCTCTGCAGGCCTTGGCTTGGCTTCTGCACAAGAGAAGAAAGTCAATAGCTCCCCAGAGGGCTCTGATCCACCCCCAGGGAAGAGACCCACAAACCCAGATCCTAGGTCTCAGCTTCCCTTCCTTACGCAGGCAGGTCCCTGGGTTCAGACCCAATGCCAGACGGCCAGACAGGCCTTCTGCTCTCCCTTCTCACTCCCAACCCCCTGGCTCCAGACGGCAGCCCACAGGGCTGCCTCGTGCCCTTCCGGCTGGCTTTGTCCTGCAACAAGGGTGGATGGCACGTGGGCCGGGCAAGGGGGGTCCCTGTCCCGCACCGGGGCCCCTGGCACTCACTGGGAGGCAGAGCCCACGAGGCTCAGGGCCAGGCTCCCCCCCCCCCACCCCGGCCAGATCAGCACAAGAGGAGCAGCTCTGTAGAAGGGAGCTGAGCGTCTCCAGGGGGTGGGGACCCCCTGCTGCCCTGAAGCCACAAGCCCTTGGGCTGCCGGGCAGATGGGCTGAGCCCTCCCGCACACCAGGCCCGGGGGGTCAGGGGGGCTCACGCCATTGCCCTGCCTACCCTCTGCTCCAGCGCCCTTCACGGGGGGCTTTGCGTGGCGGCTCAGGGGCTGGCACCAGGTGGGGACTCAGCAATTCCTAGGCTGCGGGGGAGGGAGGACGGATGTGGGGGGGGGCCCAGGCCCAGGACAGAGGAGTGGCGAGGCGGGAAGCCGATCGGCTGCTGGGGAATCCAGCCTCCCGGTATGGGGCTCTGAGGTCTCTAGTGGGGCGGTTTCCCGTGCGCCCTGGCGAGCCCCCGAGGCGGGGGCCACACTTAGGACCGAGCCCCCGAGGGGAGGACAGCATAGCGACACCCCCGTCCCCCCCGAGCGGCGTAGGCAGCCCCTGCTGCGGCAGATCCCCCGGTGTCCGGGGGGGGGGACCAGCCACCCTCCCAGGCCAGCTCGCGGGGCACCGTTACCTGCTTCCATGCTCGGCAGCCCGTGCTCGGGGCTTCCTGCTGCTGCAGCCATCGGGAGCGCGGGTCCTAGCACCCCCCCGCCATGCCCTAGAGAGGGGGGGCAGGAATGTCAGCGGCCAAACGCCACCGGGGCGCCTCTGGCAACCCGCCGCGCGCAGACTGGACGTGCCTGGCCCCCGGCACCGGAATCCGAACCCCCGCGGAGCGCAGCGCTCCAGCCGGGGCTGCCTGGCGCCCAGAGCAGAGCTAGCCCGGGCTGCAGCCCACCCGCCGGCCCTTCCTTCCCCCCGGGCTGGGCACTGGATTTCCACGGGGAACTCCCTGGCCACCCAGAGAGCGGCAGGCAGCCCTTAGCCACGGCGGAGCCGGACCTGCTCTCCCCAAACGCAGAGCCGCTTGGGGGGCAGCGGGCCCGCTTACCTGGGGTCCCCGGGGCAGCAGGCGGTCCGAGCAGCGTGCGAGCTGTGCCAGTGCTGGGACGGAGCCGGCCCCTTCTATACTCCGTGGGACGGAGCCGGATTAGTGCGCGGAGAGCAGTATCCTTTACAGCAGTGTGAGCGCGTTACGCGTCGCCTTTCAGGCCACCTGTCACTGCTGGAGCGCGTTCAAAGGACACTCCATTCTCCGCCGGCCTCTCCTCTCCTCTCCTCTCCTGCGCGGGGGGGACGGGCATTCAAACAAACAGAGAACAGATGCCAGACCCCCCCCACCCAAACTCCGCCACCGCCCCCCGAAATGCCCTTTTGAGCGCGTTGCGGGTACACGCAGGAAGGGGGGGCAGATTCGGTCTCACGCCTGGACTCGACCTGCCCCGTGGCACGGCCGGCGAGGTGCTTCCGAGACCCCCGGGGAGCCCCGCACCGGCCCCGGAGAGGAGGAATCGGCCTGCAGGGACCCGCGGTGCGCTCTGCTGCCGTCACTCCCAGCCCCGGGCCCCGGCTTGTTAATGACCCCTCGGCCGGGGGAGCCCAGGGCAGCCTGGCATCGCGTTCCCAGCCCGACTCCGGGCCAGTCCGGGGAGCAGGGGCACCTCGCGAAAGGCAGGAGCAGGCCCCTCGCAAGAGCCACGAGAACCCTCCAGGGCAGCGTCCCGCCCCCCGCCCCGTGCTCCCAGCAAACCTGGAGTGAAACCAGTTTCACTGGGAACCCAAAGCATGGCAGGGCCCCGTCGAGCAAGCCTTAAAACCACGGAGCGAGGAGAGAATAAACCCCACTGCTGGTGGGGCCCTGTGGGAGACAGCCCCACCTGTGCCCATATTCCCTTGTTTTGTACCAGGCTCCAGGTCCCTTTTCAACACAGATCCAGAGACTAACCCCCCCGCCCCCCAGCGAACTGAGCACCCGGGGGGGGGGAGGGGGGGAAGCTACACAACTTGCAGTTAAATCAGAGGTTTGAGTCCAGTCTCTGCTCCCAACCCCTAGCGGGTTCCTGGGTTGATTGTGCAGGACTAATAACTGGCCCCAGGACTGCAGGTGCAGGGCAAAGCAAGGGGCTGAGTTATGCCCACTTCTTCCACTCCTTACAACAAAGGGAGCGCAGAGGCCTGGACTTTTGACCCTTTGCTTTATATCCAAAGAGGAGCTACTGGTGGGGGCATCAGCTGGGGAGCGGGGTCTAGTGGCCACAGCTCTGCACTGCAAGCAGGAGCCCTGGCCTCTATTGGCAGCTCAGACAGACGTGCTGTGTGCCCTCAGGCACGTCACCCTGTGCCTCAGTTTCCCTATCTGTAAAATGGAGGGGGCAGCAGTCACTTACCTGCCGTGCCAGGGCATGGAGACAGTCAACAGCCGGTGCAGCCGCTGCGAGTAGGACAGTGGCTGTGGTGGGGTGGCAGCTCCTTGGGTACCTGAGAAGGCCAGAGTCCCCCAGGCTGGAAGCCTTGTTGCTCACTTAGCCAACGAGGAAGGTGCAATTCAAGCTGTTGCAAGGCTGGCGCGGTTCCCAGTGGAGGCTGGGATTACCTCTGGCTTCCCCACCCGTTGGCCTTTGCCTGCTGCCCAGTTGCGGTCTTCCTCCAATGGGTCTCGGGCCTCCTGCTGCTTGGAGTTCATAAGCTTTGAGTCATCACTGCTAACACTCCCCAGCTTCTCCCTCCCCCTCCCCCCCACAAAAGCACTGGAGCCTCAAGACATAACGGTGCTGCCCACTGCCTGCTTCTGAGCCAATGTCACTAACAACTCATGACTCAGGGTCGTCTAGCACCTCTCACCTAGTGCACTCACCTTCCCTCTTCTAGCACTAAGAAAGCAGCTACTTCTGGGGTGGAACGTACCAGCTGTTAAGTAGCACACAACACTGAGGACAGGAAGAGGTGGATTCAGTAGGTGGTGCAGGTAGGCACTACTCTAAGCTGTAATAGGATCTAGTTAAATACCTCTCCCATCCCAAACAGCCTCCCTCCATTCCAATCCCTCCTCAGAACACAGCTTTGCCACCAACTCTTTGGTGACCCCCTCGCCAGAGCCAGCCCCCACTATGCAGCATGCCCCAGGCTCGGTTGGCGATCCAGAGATGGGCAGGATCTGCTACTAGATTGGAAGCATGGAAGGAGGATAGTGCCTTTCTATTTCGAGTGTAGCAAGCACCCTGTCAGCACTCCCATGATGCTCTGGGCTTCTAGTGACCGCCAAGGACCTAATGACCGCCGGATCCCATGGGCTAGGGCATGGCCTTTTGATGTGTTTGGGTCTTAAGTGACGCCCCTCAGGGGCCTGCTGTGCCCCACTGCAACCTTCTCTAGGGCTGTTCTCGGAGGTAGAGAGTGAGGATGGTCCAGTAGTTAACGGCTGGCCTAGAACGAGAGACCTGGATTCAATTCCCTGCTTAGCTGTCTAGTCCCAGTGTGATCTAGGGCAAGTCAGTTAGGGGGAACTGAGGCCCAGGCTACGTACCATGGGTCTTATTGCACTGCCCTACCTCCTGGGGAGTGGGGTGAGGCCTACAAATAGCACCCGGGGCTCAATGAAGCATCGTAACACAGCTCCGGCAGCCTGGGCAGCTTCGGCCCCTCAGCCTCCAGCAGGCAAGCGGTTAAAGCCTGCTGAGGAAGACACTCATTTGCACGGTCACTCCTGATCCTGGCACGAAGCTCAACTGCCAGAATGGGCCTGGAAACATCCCCAGCCCTGGGAGGTGGGGACGCCGAGCAGGGTCTTTAAAAGGAACTGGTGAGGAGAGGTGTTGCCCTGGCTTGCTCTCTTCCCTCGTCAGCTGCACTGGAAAACTGGAGGCAGTGGAACTTAAAGAATGACCTTTTTGGTTACAACACAACTAGCCGATGCCCCAGTGCCTAATACCGGAGAGGCAGGGTTTGCAGCCAGCCCTCCGCACAGCGACGAGAGCTTCTCTCCCCCCACTGCTATAGGGGGCCCAACCCAGCAAAGAGCTTCCTGGCTTCCGCTGCCAGGAGCCAGGCCTAGCATTCAGGGTCCGGCTCCCTACCCCTGCGCATTCCCAAAGCGAACAACGCAGAGCCCAAGTGACGATGCTGCGGGCTTCTAAGTAGGCAGCAGATCCCCTCATTCTTGTGCGGGGAGTCAGCTTTAACTAACAGATGAGCCAGGATTCAGGTTGGCCTGTACTGAACGTCAAGAGCATTGTTTATGGGGGGCAGTTTACATTGTTCCCGCTCCACTTGTGTGCCATCCTTTCCTTTTAGGTTGGGGATGCAGGAGATCTGGGGGCCTCGGCTCTGCCTCACCCTTAGGATTTTGGGGGGTAGGAGGGGAGGGAATTGCAGCAGAGTGCGACGTCTCAGAAGGATTAGGCAAGGAAAGCCTGCCTGGGTTTGGCTAAGTATCCAACAGGCTGCTGCAGTTGCCCTGAGAGCAGAGGCAGTTTGCTGCCCAGCTGGGTGGGCCGCAGGGCGAGGAAAAGTCAGCCCTGCTCACTTCAGAAAGCTGGGATGGAAGGGAGACAGGTTTGGGGTTGTTGGTAGCAGATACTGCACAGCCTTCCTCGGATAAGGCTTACTCAGCTCAGGAGGACTATTCCCTTCAAACGGGACCAGGCCAGCGCTTGCAGGATCAAGCCCGAAGGCTGGGCTACGCCCCAACCTGCCCTAGTTTAGCTAACCCAGGTCAGTTAGGCTTTGGCCAAGGCTGTGCGGGGACACGTCGTTCAGACCAAATGTGACTCAAGTGACTTTGCTAAAGTCAAACCCGTTTGATGGGTTTTAGTCTAAACTAATGGCATTTATACAGACTGGCATCAAAATAGGTAAGTCAGCTTCAGTTCACACCATGTTAGTTTGATGCAAAGCTAGCTGGTGACCAGCCCTGTGCATCTACGAATCTTAAGGCAAGTCAAGAAATATGCCACAATCCCTCACTTTGTTCTCTCAACCCTCCTTCCCCATTCCTGTGGCTATCCTTAGACTTCTGCTCCCAGCCAGCATTCATACCTAGCATGGGACATGACCCCATAACAACTGGGTTTCCGGTAAGGCCCATCATGAGAGCTGCTGGGACCAGAACATCTTTGACAGCAATTTATCATCTTTGTAACCTGTCAATGAATAAAATATCAGGTTTAAAAGGAAAAGCCAAGCGCAGGCAGACACCAAGAGCACATTTCAGTATCCAGGTGACAGGCAGGGCTGGTCCATATCTGAGAGATGCAGTTACAATCACATCAAACATACACACTGCACTTGACCACTAAAGCCACTTAACTCCATGGTGGTCCTTGACTGCCTCAAGGCAACAGTCTAGCTCTAGTACTTGGAACAGCTCTGGCAGGAAGAAAGCAAAAGACGTATTTTCCAAAAACGGGTGGCCAACTCACATGACAACACGGCATCATAGGAACTGAAGACCATGAACTGTTCTGTACCAGCATGTTAGTGTATTGGCCACTATTGTGATGCACGGATTCCTTTCAGTGGAAGGGGAGGTGGAAGCAAGTTTGTGTCCTCACAGTCATGCTGTTAGTTCCCAGCTGGACTCAGCTTCCTAACCTGATTGCTGGTTCTCTGGCCCCGCCCTTGGTAACTCACTTGCAGCCCAGCAGCACATGTAGAATGGGGTGGAAAGTTTGGGCGAATAGGAGAAGATGGGGACAAGAAAACATTTGCTGGTGGGGAGGAAGAGAGAGACTCAACTGAGGTAGTGGTAGCTCTCTTGGTGAGGTCATTTTAAAAATGAATCTGGAGAACTGCCATTGCAGGATTGTACTTGCAGGCAAGGAAGGGGGCAACGACCCAGCTTTGACATCAATGGTGGGTGGATAAGGAGACTCGGTGAATTTCTCCGCCAAAGTGATTGGAACAAGATTAGTAGTGGTTACAATTTGATGCATCATTAGGCTTAAAAGCTAACACGACAGTAGTTTGTGCAGGTAGTTCACATCTTCAGGATTGTTTCAGCATCCCTGGCTGCATTTCCAAGCAGGCAGAGTGCACAGGGTTCTCCTAGCATGGTTAAGGACTAAGGCAGACATCCTTAAAAGGTATTTATGCTCCTAACTTCTACTGAAATAAGTGGAATCTAGCCACCTCTTTTTGAGGATCTGGACCTAAATCCTTTATTGCAGAAGAGAACAGAAATGACAGGAGACAGATCTGTTCCTGCGTAGCAACTTGGTTTAACGCTCCTGAGTGGACAGCTCTTGCCACTCGTAGAAGGTTACTCAAGGTGGTAATTCAATTATCCATGAGGCAGAAGCTTAGCTTTCATCAATAGATTCCATTGCACACATGGATTAGAGAGTTAGTTTGTTTGAGACTAGGAATGATAGCGATGCTGTCAATTGACCAGAAGACCAGTTCACTCATAGCACACAACAGAGGCAAGCAAAGAGAGGCACTACTTTATTGGCTTTGGGCAAGCAAGCAGGAAAACTTGCCCATGGGACTGGATGGCTATAGGGGACATCTAAGCCAACTGTAGCCTCTTACCACTATGCAGCTAGAAATTCTCTTAATTAATGGAGATAACCCATCTCCTAGAACTGGAAGGGACCTTGAAAGGTCATCGAGTCCAGCCCCCTGCCTTCACTAGCAGGACCAAGTACTGATTTTGCCCCAGATCCCCAAGTGGCCCCCTCAAGGATTGAACTCAC